TCCAAAATTGAATTTGAAGATAAACTCTCAACAAATGTTGATGAGCTGCACTCGAGGTTGGAGGTAGTTTTACTAGGTCGAAGTTGGATCTGACTGAGCTGACAATCAAAAAAGGTTATAAATACTAAGCATTCTACAGTCAATATATGAAAACTCTGTTTTTTCTACCTTTGAGGGAGCTGGGGGGGAAAGCTCAAAGCGGAGAGGCGGGGACTTTTGGGAAAATACTTGTCTCTTAAGGTAGTATCACATATAAAAAATCCAGCTTTCCACTAATTAGTTGCGACAAATGGTAATTTTAGGCCTTTATTTACTGGGCTATATATAAATTGTGTATATTTTGTTTATATATTATGTTTGCCTGCGAGTTTGCCGATGGTTGCTCTGTTATTTATGTTATGTCATGATTTGTCTTTTGATCGGTTGCTGTCAGTACTCATGGCAGAGAGCCTGGAGTTCGGTAATTTATAACCCGGCACTTTATAACTAGTGGGTTGGATTTGGTTGGACTGGCCCTAGAGATGTGTGAATGAATGAGTTGGGGTCCCGCTTAGTCGTACATGAGAGCGTTGGCTAGGCCCGGCCTCACTTGCTCAGGGATTCGCTAAAAGCGTGCGGCGTGTTTTCGTTGTGACCTTTTGTTTTGGTTATCAATTTGGGGTACCCTTCCTATGTGAAAGGCTCTTCTGAGAGGCCAACTCCTAAGCGATTTCACACAATGCTGACATGTCATGACCAGGGAAACTAAAGAGTACTCGGTGTGGAATTTAGACCGGCCATCCAATATCCAAACCTATTATATGAATTTATTGTACTGTTCTAATGATTGTCTTTTTGTTATGTGTGTGAAATATTGATTCCTTAGGAATTCCAGCGGAGTCTGTGATTCGACATTGTATTGATGTGCTTGACAACATGCATGATTTTTTCTGTGCTCATTTTCAGTCCGACTTGTTCCACTTGCCGCCGTTATGTCATCCGCATAACGCATACGCACATTGGAATATAATATTTGTTGTAATGTAAATTCCTGTACCCACTTGTAAGTCAATTGAGATCATTTCTTTAAATCCATCAATATATTAAAGAGTACAGGTGGCTTGGTAATTTACTATTTTTCAGTGTTCTTATCGTGTCCGATATCTCCTGCTCCTCTCGCTTTCCTTCTTTATTTCTTTTTGTTTTTCCTATTCACTTCACTAACTAGGGCTTTTTGATAGTTACCTCTTCCTCCTAATAGTTCCTGAAAGTATGTATTCCCTCCACTTACTCAATATACTGCTCGAGTGAGTTATTATCTGCCCCTGTAATGTTTTCCCTTCTCTCAGCGATTTCAGTGCCACAATTAAAGAACAGTTTTTGGTTTCACTTGCTGTCGCTAACTATATGTTCCTTTGTTCCTTGTACCTTTTGTATGTGTCTTCTAATTTATTGTTTAGGTGTTGTTTTCACCTCAGTTTCTTTATCTTTACTTACTGTTCGTTTGATGTGTTTGTTTACCCTCTTTACTCCGCATGATTCCTTTGCCGCTGATATCGCTTTAAAATTTTAAAGCTATTGCGCCCGTTTCCCAGGTTAAAGTTCAAATCCGTTCTGGTAAATATATGGGTAGCAAATAACCTAAGTTTTTCGGGTTAGTGCATCATGGAGTCAGTATAGTAACCATTTTTGTCGCAAAAAACTGCTCATGTTCAATTAGTTTCCTTATTCACGTTTAATGAGTTATTGTTGAGAATTTGTTCGAATTTCTCTACTCATGTTAGCATATATCGTGATAATACTTTCATAATGCTCTAGCTACTCCTTGAAGCATTCGAATAAAATAATATAGCATGTGTTCAACCAGATATAGTGGAATTATGAATAGTAAACTGTTATAGAGGTAAAAGCCATGGAGTCTAACAATTACCTGCTTTTGGGATACTTGGCTCCACCACTAAAAGTGGCTACTAAGCGCTCCCAGCACGATAAGGTGTATCCCATGGTAGGGATGATGTATTAGCTCGTGATTTCTACCGTTTTGTCTTCTTATGTACTTGGTTACATCTCTGCCCCTACTTTTTAATTTTCCTACCAGTTGATAGTGGTCGCTGGAAATGTATGCTCCTCTTCTGACTCTTACAATGTATAACTTAATAATAATAATAATAATAAATGTCTTTATTGATTAGCAGTTCTACATTTGCAATAAGTACTGCATATATCAATTAGATGAAAGTTCAGATTTTTTAGGTAAAACCTAATCTGATATTCTACTTTAACCTTAATAACTTTATGAAAGCATCCAGTTAGGTACACGTACAGACAGAAAGAACAACAAAGAACAAAAAAAAAGATGAACGATTGAAAAGAGAAAAAAAGAAAAAGAAAGGGAACAAGCTAAATTATTGTACGTTTTGTATAGTAAACAAGTATTGTTTATATTTGCACTTAAACATTTTTTGGTTTAACGTCACAATATCGGCAGGAAGTCCATTAAGTATTTTTACAGCCTGATATTTGAAATATCGCTGAAACAGAACGGTTCTATGCATTGGTATACTAAATATGTATTTACTTTTCCGCCTCACATTTATGTTGTGAACGTCTGTCCGATATGTGACATATGATGACTTGGCTTGCATATTGTTTTTCTATGAGTATGTAGTGCACAATTGATTTTTCAGTCCTGTTTTTTTCCGGGTTGTCCTCTTCTTTCTCTCAACTCTTGCATTCAAATCTCTTGCTACCAGTATTTCTCCTCTTCTGTCTTCTATTACCTCAGTGAGTACTTCTCAGAATGCATCCTTGGCTTCCTCCTTATCGTTTTCGTTAGATCCGTACGCACCCTCTTCTGTCTTCCAGTACCTCCTAAAATATATTGGCACAAATTAACTAATCTGTGATATTGGTAATAAATATTTTCCCATTTTGAAGCGTAATTAGTTGGTGTTTGTTCTTGTGATTTAATTCTATTCAGATTTAATATTTGAGTAATTGTGGCCTTCCCCACTACATATACTCTATGAAAACGCTTAGGTTTCCAAGTTATTTCCAAAAAAATGAAAGTTACGTACTTGTTAAAATTTTATTAGCGTTATTTATAATTTAAGGGTTGATAAGTGCAGATTTAATATAAATCGCAACATTCGATATAATTAGTATTCAAACACCCTTGCATAAGGTTTACCCAACCATTTTGCATCTTTTAGCATATTTAATGCATATGTATCGTTATTGCTAAATAAGTACGCAAAATCGATTACTATCTTCACGCACTCTCAGTAGAGGAGATATGATTCTGTCTTTTTCCACGGAAAACATCACAACGGAGGTTGCCCCTGAAAACGTGACCGAGGCTCTCACCATTACCACCACCAGATGTGACAAAGAACGCTATTTCCATAAAGAAGAAAAAGTCGAACAAAAGATGAGCCGCCTCTCCTAGTGAAACCCACCAAAAGAAATACGCTCATAATACCGACAATAGGGGATCTTTCCATAAACAAGAAAAGGCCAACAAATTTCGCTTTAGCTTCCGCAGGTGTACGTAGGTCAAGGAGGCTTGCTATTTTTCAAACTAAACAAGCGAAGTAAAGTCACTATCTTTCACGCTTTCCATGGTGAATTACACACTTCCTCGAAGAGGTGTTGGTGCGGGTCTTTACCACACCTCTACCACCTCCAAGAGCACAAACTTGTGGTTGCCCTCAGTGAATGACGCATGTTAGTATTTTTCACGATCCAATTTGTGGAAACCCATTCTTAAGACTTCGCCTGAATTTTTGTACTGTTAGTGCCTGCAGGAAATGGTAAACTGAAAACGTACTTCAATATTTTTCGCCTCGATCGAGAAAGTCCCACTTGGTCTGATTACGGTATAAGAATAGATTTGTTCAAATTTCGACCTCAATCCTCATTGATACGGTCAGGTGAATGACGTGGCAAGTGAGTTGTTCGCGACAGCTACCCTTGGAATATTACAATAGATCAGTAAGTAGTGAACGAAAGATTTTCAACCCTTTATTTAAAAAGTATTTTTTTCTTGGTGCCGTTTTCGCCATTATACTTTGGCTTTGAACTGAATTTAATGCGGATCTAATGAACTTTCTCTAGGGTGCGAATTGACCCTCATTTTAATGACGGTTTAAATTCTAGAACCATCAATTATCCTGAGACGAGAGTTCGAAGCAGGCTCTTAGCTAGGGCTGGTCACTTGCAAATATTGCAATCTAAGTCGGTTGTCTTTCAAGGAATTTCATTTCATTACCCAAAATTTGCTCACAGACAACGAAAATATTATTTCTTCTTCTACTTCATTCTGGCTCTACGAACCTGGTTTTCTGAATGCAAATATTTCAAGGAAGATTTTTCGTAGTGTGCGATTTTCGGTGGCGAATTTACCTGGGGAAGAAATTCCAGAGGTGACTCTACATAGAAAAATGTATGGAGATGCACTTTTCGCGGAGAGTTTGTCGCACGTGTGATGATCAAATATCTTGCTTTTATATAGAAGTTTATCTAAATTAATAAATAAATCCCTTGCAACATCAAAGGTATTTGTTGAAATTTGTACAACTTATGTTTTATAAATTATGACATAGAATCAAGTGTGCCTTTATTTGTTGCAGGATGACTCCCACTGTACCAAATTTGAACAAAACTAGCTGTATTAGGCTTTTTCGGAAATTAGACAGCGTGTGTATGAAGATTATTTCCAAGGCGCCAAAAAAAGTTCGGTTCTGTTATCCGGGTTAGTCACGAAATGTAAGTAATGATTTTAATTCAAAGATCTATAAATTAGGGCGTTTTTACACGAAGTTATATGGGAAGAGTTTTATTATCAGCGAATTTACAAGAATCAATAAATTTTGTTAGGAGCAAATTTTTGGATTTCGGATCTTCAGCTGGTAAGTCAGAGCAACTTTTAAAACAATGTTTAGTATATTTACAAGAGCATAAAAATAAATATATAAAAAATATATGCATATACATAAATAATGAGCTTATAAACGTAAACAATTTTATAACTAATTTAATCAAATTTAAAGCTTTTTAGGCACAATGATAAAGTTTTGTTGTTTTTCAAATCAACCGAAAAAAATGATTCCTATATCATTCAATGGTAAATATTATAAACCCCTTTGCTATAGTAAAACTACATTTGTACATCACAGTTACATATGTTTCAACAAAACGAAAATATAAAAATGGAACAAATTATGGCAATACGGTATGCATTTCTGGCATTTTCTTACCGGAAAATAAATGTGTTACTTAAAAGAAATTGGTTTGTCACTTGATCAACAAATATATATTACGTAATAATTTGATTTAATAAATCACACACAATTTATGGCATAGACGATCTCCTAATTGTCAAGGATATTGTAATATTTTCAGGTAATTTCTTCAAAACCGACCACGCTTCAAATCGCGACATGGAAGACACATCTGTTTCATTTACAAACACAATCTGGTCGCCAACTTGTATTTTTCCGGTTTTTTCAGCGGCCCCACCTATTAGAGGAAGAGGTAAATTTATCCTCAAGCAACAGCGCTTTTCCTTACCTTTGAAAACCTTCTTTATTAATAGCGGCATGTTTCCGAGTGGTGAATCTTTGCCTCCCTCCAAACTTATTCCTATACCCGCTGCATCTTTTATAAGAGACACTGTGATTGTCGTTTGCTTGTGTGAGGTCCCATCGGTGTCTAAAATTAAAATTTAAAGATCGATACTACCTAGATAACATTACGGACCTTTTATCGGCTGTAGTTGCGCCAATTTTGCCTCCGGTGAGCGCGGTGATGTTGGCACCGAGGCTGTATTGGAAGTTTTCCCTCTGCTCACCACCAAGGTAATTTCAGGTAAAGGTTCCTAAAAAAAGTTAAAATTTCAAGTATTACACTACAGTTTATTTACTTTGAGCAGTGACACTAGTTGCCTGTGTGTTAACCCCTCAACAGTTTTTCCATTAATTGATAGAACAAGGTCGCCTTTTTGCAGCCTTCCATCACGATGTGCCGAACTATCACCCCTAATTTTGTGAACCTAAAAACATCTTGTTCATTAGTGGCAATTGCCGAATTTCTACAGACTGTTATTTCTTTTGTTTCGTAATCCGCTCCACCGGCAAGTGTTACACCCACACTTCCACCGGGAATTTCTGGCCGTAGTATAATAGTCTCATTGGTTACAACAGAATTTTCCTGCTTGTTTTCAACAGGAGCATCCTAAAAACAACGCGGTGATTATTTGGCACATCCAACGGTGCATCATACCTTTCTATTTGCGATTTCCTTTTTGAAGTTATTCTCGAATTTGTTTTTAATAAAATGATTATTGGTGGTTTCGATAGTTGGTGATGGACTCAACTTTTCAAAACTCTTACGTAAATCAGTAACGCTCGTAGCTTTGGTTCGCGGTAGAGTGCTAAAATTGGGCAAAATCTTCATTTGTAAATCCCTCTTATCGGATTTGTTGGACAGACTATTCAGTGATAATTTTTTTGTGTCTGTGTGGTTCTGTTTTTCTACTTTGATCGGATTTGGGGTCGTAGCAACTGTATTGTTCTTTAAATTTTCTTCTCGTGTGGTTTTATGCATATTGCCTTCTGGTACGGCATCACTCGCGTTAACAGTTTTCTTTTCCTCCTCTTCAAAGCGACGTTGAATGAGAGGCGATCCGATCTTTAGATCCCTGCCACTTCGACACTTAGCTGAAGCTAAAATATTTTTACGATTAATCGCTTCCACACTCTGCGCTTTTAACAATCGATGATTGTGATTATCACCTTCGAAGCTTGCTTGAGGGTCGCTCTCTTCGCCTTTGTGGAGCAGGAACTCCTGCGCGTTTATTCTTGGAGACGTGAAAGTGCTATGTATTGTAATTGGCGACGATGGTGGAGATGTTCTAGATATATAACTAGATTGACTAGAACTTACAGCGGAATCATTATCACTATCATCCTCTTGCTTTTTAGGCTCAGTTCTATCTTGGGAAATCGTGCTTGTGTGGAAAAATTTGATGTGTGGTTTAATATCGAAAGAACTACTAACATATTCAAAACTGGAATCAGACCTTGTGGGGGAAGTAATACTTTCCAGTGATTTCGGTGCATCGTTGATAACTTTTGCGTTGCAAAAATCAATTTTACCGGGATGCGGCTTGGAATAATTGTCTGTGGAATCGGTCAGAGCGACAGAGCTTGATATTCCATTGGTAAACGTTTCGGAATGTATTTGTAAACTTTTTCGTTTAAACGCGGGCGAATACTTAGGTACATTAGCTGATAGGTTATTAGTCCATGGTGGCGTGGACATGAAAGGAACATATGAGTTACGATGGCAAGAAGAATTCGTCGACTCAGGAGGTAATAGTGCAGTCTTTGTGTCGCCAACTATGCTTGGTAGATTATTATTTTTAATTTCTGGCAAGTCCAATACAGGAACATCTACTTCGATTACTTTTTCAGGAATAACTAAACCTTTTAATTTTGATAAGCTGCGTTGTCGTTGTTCTAAAAGCAGTTTCCAACGATCTTTCTTTGGCAATTGATCAGAGGAGCTTATGTCCATTAAGCTTTGAGATCGCGTGTGTAAATGGGAGCTAGGCGCGTAGGTATTGTCGACATAGTCGTATTTTTCTTCAGACAGACAGCGTGTGTGGGAGATTTCCATAGTTAAATCTAAAGAGCTTCTTGCTTTGCTTGATGCCAAGCTGCTATGTTTCAAACCGTTTACTTTCGACGCCTTGTCTGCAATCCATCGATCAGTTTTGGATGAGGTGCTGAGCGATCGCTTGACTTTTGGGAAGGAGTTATTCAAGTTTCGGGATTTCTCAAAATACTCCTTCTCGATCGCGGTTGGAATATCATCCGTGCTTTTATTCGATTTGTTTAAAGTGGTAGATGTTGTTATACCGCCGGTACTTGAGAAAATCGCTATTTTATCTCGAACACTAAAGGAACTTTGTTGATCTTTAAATAAATTATGGGAGCCTGTAGCCCATAATTTATGCGACCAATTTGCCTTCGGTTCCTTTCTAGGTTCGGGTTTGCTTGATGTGACTTCGTTGTAATCTGGGAACTCGTCACCGTCTGGTGGTTGACGTGAGGAACTAGGAGGGACGTCCATTACGTCGCAGAAGTCTGAAAATGTGCACCATGATATATTAACAACGCTTTTACTTCGCACTTACTGTTCGCAGGAGCGGCGTCAAAGGTTACTTCATTCCCTTCCGTAGACGTTTCCCCATCTGAATAGATAAAACAATTTTTAAATTTGAACAGCACAAGCATGCTCCGATTTATTTAATACTTTCACATATTCTACAATAAGTAAACAACTCAATTCACCAGTTGCAAAAGACGAGGTCAATCACAACTGAGTGGGACGTGTCCTTTGCATTTAGAATAAAATTTATAACCGTTACCGACACCGGTATTATTTAAAAATGTTCGAGCATTCATCTGTTAATGTTTAGCATTTGCATTTTGCTTAAAAGAACAAAAACTTTAGTCCTACCCCTAGCTGCTTTTAGTCTCTCCACGAGACGTATCTACGCCAGAAGGGATACAAAGTAATTGTTGTCCAATAGTATGCCATTTATTGTGAATCGTTCGCAAACAATTAGTTTTCCAAATTTTTGCATCTGAGCTCCCTATGTAACAGAAGTGTATGCATATTTGAAAGCGGAACAAAACATGCTCGAAAACATGTTGAAATGCATGTATAAAATAGTTATTTTTCTAACTCAGGGGTTCTCAAAGTGGGTGCCGCGGTACCTTGGGGTAAATATTTGCAATCTAGTATAGAAAAAAAAGCGCACTCGGGGGGATCGAACCCGCGTCATCATAATCGAACGGCGACGGCCTTGCACTTGCAGTTTGCGCTACGCACCGTATACTATACGTATAACGATAATATTAAAATCATTATTTTTATTTATTCCGAAACTATTAAATACGCTTTAAATGCGTATATTAGTCAATTTCAAAGGCACATCAACGATTTTAATACCATATTTTCTTTTAAGTGGAGAAATGCGCTTCAAACAAAAAAAATGCAAACCCCATCAGGAGCATAAGTTCACATTTTATTACCAGATTCCTTCACATTTGTAATAGTAACGTTTGTTTTAAATGTTTTTGTGTTTAGGAATAAAACTTACTTACAAAAATTATACCTAACTGTAAAACAGCAAAAAAATTTATTACACAAAAAATGAGAAAAAAAAATTTCAAAGTTAAACTAACCAAAATATTTATTGTCGGCCAACCAATTACTTTGATTTCGTTTAAATTTTGCAATTGTAGATTAGGCATAAAGGATGTAAGACTGCCAAAATTTTTTGTTTGTTTTGTTTTTAGCGCCGTGACGTCATACAACTTCTTTTTCAAGTAGCAACCCAACATTTGAATATTATTTGAATGAGACTATTTTTCTTTGTTCATCATACCAAAATAGGGACAAGTTTTAACAAACTCTCCGAAATCCTGCAGCTTATTTAGGATAAGTGATTGCTTGAGAATACTAATATGAATATATTAAAGTTGTTATGATTAAAATTAAAAAGACCAGAGCGGAGTTTCCCATCCAAATACTAACCGAGGGCAACTTTAAGGTTTGGACGAGGAAGGAAAGCGACAATAAAATTTGAGAAATTCGTTTCTTTGCAGCGGTTTGTGCTGGATGAAGCAAAGGATTTGGCGATCCTGCTTGAAATGTGTTGCCGAGAGGTTAACAACAAAATTTCAAAAATTCGTTGGGCTCCTAGGGAACCTATAACGAAAGCTCTAAACGGAGGAAATGTAAATTTTCCGATTAGGGGGTTTTATGGCAATTATATAGTTGGGAAGCGGGACTTGATTGTTCGTATTTAACCCCCTGTTCTACGCAATTTCCAGCGCGCGTAACCCATAGGGGTAAGTTTTCAAAGCCCCAGTAGGACAAGCGGGTGAAATTCGCACCGGTTTTCATTGCAAAATGTGCACCAACATTGGTACCAACTTCAGATCAAAGTGTTTTTTTTTTTACAAAAAATGGTGGTAGTTAGGCGCCACGACCCCTAGGCGCGGAACTGCGACAAGCAAGAATTTTGAATCTAAACAATGGTCGCCTTTTTTCGCAATTTCTGTGCGAAAATGTGGTGCTTGAATGACCTGTCTAACTCGTTAATGTGACCAAACGTGTCTGATTTGTAAGGGAAGGTGAGTGATAGATGGAAATGAATAAACTATCATTTCAACAAAGGCGAATTTGCCATTGGCATAACTTTCATCTAAATTCCAAAGATATTTTGTTCATCGACATTCTTTGGATCGGAAATACCGCAAGAGCCTTCTGTCAATAACATTCCACATACAATGAACATCGGCTTTGAGTTTAATGAAAAAGTTAGCAGCGAGTTCTGAAATGACCAGATGACAGTGAGTTATGTAAGAAAATTCAAATGAAAGAAGCAATTAAACAAGCATGTAATGTGTAACACGAACCAATGAATATTAGATACGCACCTGTTCTTATTATTACACTAATTGGACAAAAAAACACTTGAAACACATGAAATAGCTTTAGTACAAAAGAAACACTTGGAACACGCTAAAACCTTTATCGTATCAATTTGGCAAAAAATGGAAGCTAAAAATAACATCACCAACTCGGTACCGTTATTAAAAAGGTAAAAAACTTAATCCTTTCCGAATTTTATAATCGCGATTGAAGAGGACCGTTTGCTGATTGCATTGTTCGCAATTGAACTGAAGACTTTCTACAAGAGTCTAACGCACGAGCCGCGCGCGAAATGCAGCTAGCGGTCTCAGAGAGGTGCGCTTTAAACTGGAAAACTGGTAGTTAACGTCTTCAAATAATCGTCTATTAGTAAAAATTCGTTTGTATTTTATTTAGGCAACGGTATGGTGGTCGCACTTGCAGTCGAGAGCGCAACATAGACAGGTCCAAGGAAAATGTAGTCACACCGTACAGAACCGTTTATGTAAATTTGCGCGTAACATAAAAAAGTGGCTGTATAACCAAATTCATAATTCCAATAGCAATTCCTTTAGAAACTTACCAATCCTATTAGAGCAGGGGCAATGGCAATCAGCAGGTCAGTGGACGTAAAGTCAAGGGCACATATAGAAAATCGCGCGATGGCCGTTTGCACTATGCACTACCGAGACGTGAGGACAGTCTATACTTACTTACAAGAAACGATTCAAAACAATACTCACAAAACGAGGAATTATTTATCGAAGTATCTTTGCAACGTGAGACAACGGCACTTATTTTCCACGTAGGATACCATAGCCAAAACAAGAATATGCGCGCAATAAAGAAGACATGCATGTACGAGATAAACAATTGCCGGACCATATTTAGCACACAGATTCTGTAACAATGACATCAATTTCTAGATCAGTGTACAATTTGAAGTTACCAGGTTTTTGAAATGCTTACGCTATCTGTGATACTTACATCAGAATGGACATTAATTTTTGAAAAAGCTGTCAAAAATAGCATTAATGCTCATCGATCCCTTAAATTGGTTCTGAGGTGTAACTCGGAATTTTGTTATTTCGAAAAATTTGTGATATATGGCAGCGAAGCCTATAGCAACAAATTATGCGCTATTTGTGCAACATTTGCATAGGGGATGAAACCATGGCGAGGAGTTGCATATGAGATATGGGTAAAATTTTACAGAACAATAAGAACCCGATGAAGAATGCGCCTTTGTTTCGCAAAGCTGATTTTTTCAATTTTTTTGTGGAAATCGGAGAAATTAAGGAAATTATAAATTAGCATTTTAGTAAAAATCACTCGTGCCCTGAAATTATTGAAACAAAAATTAGTCCATGCAGCGTACTACAAATTTACATTAATAATTTTTTCCGGTTTTTCGGATTGAAAAATAATACATGAGCACACGGAGAATTTTTCAAGTTATAGCACTTAATCTAAGGTGTATCTAAACAATTACTCTCTATTATGCATAACGAAGAGCATTTTTCAAAGCCCAAAAGTGAATTCTGTGAATTTGGCGCATTATTATGTATGCACTAATTTCGTTGGGAAATCGGCGAGAAGGGTTAGTTGAATTGAATTTGGTGCATCTTTAGTACATGTATATAAATCGATTTACGATTAGACTTTTTACTTGTTTCAACCACTTGTGAATACTAGTGTGAATATTTTCGGTACTAGTCGACAAATTATAGCATTTTTTAATTTTCTAACGGTTCCAATAGTAAGCATTAAGCAATATTGACAGTTTACATCCTATTAATTGTTTCCTACTATTTGCAAGGTCCGAAAGTGAAAATAAGGGATGCTATAAGTAAGCGCGGTGTTGTAGGTATATAGGTATGCAGGTGAATATCCATCAGTTACGACTCTTCTACGTTTTAAGAACTTTACAAAAAATCTCGAAATTTCGTTTTTTGAAAAAAGTACACAAATTCAGTGCGCTCGTTGACGAACGTATGTTATAAACAATTTCGCCTACTATAATTTTATATAGAGTAAAAAACGCACGTAGCAAAAACAGAAAGAAAACAGTACACAAGTTTTTCGACCATTTTTCAATGTTCGGTTAATCCGAAAAAAAAGTGTCGATGCAACAAAACAAGAGCGTGTAATAGCAAAATTAGCACCTTTTGATTCTCTATTTAAGTATTTTTTTAAATATACGGAAAGGGGGCAACTTTTTTCAAAATTGTGTAAATCGGAGGTATTGAGGTGAGGTTATCAAATTGACGCAAAGACAATGTAGTATTATCTTTGATTGACATTTTTGAGTATGCAACGTGATTATACCAAGACCATAAAGGCCGCTTTACATACTGCAATTCTTTGTGCAATACAGTTGCAGCAAGTTTAATTGCAAAAATACTGTACATGCAATAATTATTGCACTTTGGTTTTACACGCGGCAATTTTCTTTTTGCAATAGTTTGTTACCAACATTCGCATTTAAAATTGAACTAAAAGCTTTATCTATTCAAAATTCATCAGGTGTTGTTATAATTCTGAATGCGTTTTGAGTAAAAATGAATAGACACTTTAATCGAAAAAAGGCAGTCGCAGCTTCAATTTGTGTAGTAATAGTAAACAAAGTCTAGTTTCAACGTTTGGGAATTCTAGAACCTGGCGTTGTCAATACTTTCCCCCAAAATATCACGTGCAAGTGCAATAAAAATCGCGCGCGACCGCTAACCTGCAATTGCAAGTGAATTGCCAAAATGAATCAGCTGT